TCTTCTGCAAATAAATAACCACTTTTCCCAGCACCACTTGTGGGATAGGCTGTCTTTCCTAGATCAGATAGCTGTAGATGTCTGGGGAAGTTTCTGTGTCCTGTGTTCTGTTCCACTGATCCAAGTGTCTATTTTATTCCAATACCATGGTGTTCATATCACTATTACTTTGTAATGTAGCTTCAAGTAAGGCATTGCTGTGTCTCTTGCTTTGCTCTTGTTGCCCAAGCTTACTTTATTAGAGGCAACAGGAGTGACTGTGAGGCAGCTAAGTATGGCAAATTAAAAACCCAAGAGGAGGAGATTATATGTTTCAATAAAGAAATACGTTAATAGTATTGCTTTTGGGTTTGAGGTAAATAGGGAGATAAAACAAGGAAGAGCAACTAGATACCTGCTAGATCAGAGTCCATGAGAGGAAAAAAAAAAAAAAAATATATATATATATATATATATATATATATATATATATATGAAAGCCTAATAAACAGAAGAAACCATAAGAGAATATAATTCCACAGCATTAAATTAGTCAGATACCAAAACTCAAATCTATGTGATATTGAATGGGAACACATTAAATATTCCAATGAGACTGCATACGTGAGTCCAAAATACTTTCTTTGCTAACATCTAAGTGCTGATGCCCCAGTAACTGCTCTAATTCCTCCATTAAAACACAGAACCTGACTCAGACTCAGAATTTCTTTCCAGAAGGCTATAGGCATTCTTGTAGATTCTGATCTGGTCTGAATTCTTGGGTTAGAAACTGTTACTGTCCTGCTTACTGAGCGTATAGTGGAAATGGCAGAAATATTCACTGGCATGAAATTGTCCATGGAATCAGGAGTATTCTTATGCATTTAAATCAGCTATAGTACTAACAAACTAATCAGTGACAGTGGTATCATTCAGAGTAAGTTAAGAAATAATTTACTATGAGGCTGAATTTTGGATCTCTCTTAAGCCTAGAGAAAAATACTCCATGGTAATGATGTTAGCGTCATAACATTCCAAATATTGAACTACAGTTAGTATGCACTAAATTTGATAGCTATGTGCCTTCTAATGGTAAAGAAAAGGTTTCAAGAGTAATTTTATAGAATCAATTATCTAATACCCAGGGAGTTGGGAACTGGATAATATTAGAGAGGGGGAAAGTATTTTTAAAAATTGGATATTTTATTTTTTAAAATCTTGTGCTATGTGGTAGGGAAGTAGGAAGAAAGAGGGGACAAAGGATCCTAATGGTGGGAGAGGTATGTTATGTATTTAAATGGGGACATTGGGGAAAAGTGGGAACAAAATTGGCAGTGATAAAGGGAAGAGAAATGATTCTATAACTACATCAATATTAGATAAAAAGTTAAAGGGGGCAAATGAGAAAAGACAGGAGAAAGAAAATAAAGATGGAGAAACAAGTCAAGCAGAAAGATACTGATAAATGCAGAAGGAGTAGAAAGGGGCCAGGGAGGGTTCCCTTACTCTCTATAAACTATACTGGAAGAAAACGGCTGAGGAAGAGAAGCTGACACACACAAACCTACACACTCATAATAGAAAAAAACATAAAACAATGGAATAAAATGGGAGGAAAATGAACAGAAAGACGGAAATAGAAAATAAATAAATACTCTTTATTGCTTTAGCCAAAACGCTCTTTCGACAGTGTAAGAGTAAGGAAGTGAGCACAAGCAGGACATATCTCTGTTTACGCCGGGGTGTCAGTCTGCCCAGAATGGTGCCATTGGCAGACATCCTCATGCACTGGGACATGGTGCCAATAGGACCTCCCACTACTGAGTAATTCAGGTTAAATTTGCCCTCTACCTGCAGGATCTGGTCCGGGTGCACCATCTCTAGCCCCTCTGGAGGACTCCCTCCAGGCTGTCTCCTGGGGCTGTCTTTCCCTCATCCACTCTGGGAATTTGACTGTGAAATACAGAATATGGTAAGAGGCTGCTCAGGGATCCAATTCAGATATTGAGACTTCTCTATAAAGGCGCAGCTGCCAGCTCTCCTTCCTCCCTGTGGCAGTGAGAGCTGTACCAGGCTGGCTCCCAGCTGTTGACTGTAGAAGACCCCCCAGGAAGCAGTATTCTGTATTTTCCTTGCTGGTTCCAGCTGTTACTGACTCAGTCCCAAGGCCATTCTTTGACTTTCTCTGGGAGAAAGCTTTCAGTTTCACTTTGTGCCATGGATGGCAGCTGGCCAAGGGCTCTTTGACTGTGTGATTTGCAAGCTATCTCCTCTCTCCTCTGTTTCTGTATCATTTAAATATCTCTCTCTCTCTCTCTCTCTCTCTCTCTCTCTCTCTCTCTGTCTCTCTCTGTCTGTCTCTTTCTGTCTGTCTGTCTCTCTCTCTGTCTCTCTCTCTGTCTCTCTCTCTTCCCTTGTGACCTCCTCACATTTTGCTAACTCACTAAGCTACTGTTTTCACGCTCCTAGATGCTTTCTTTGCTCTGGAAAGGCTGTGTTGCTTTACTTGCTGGTCTGCCATTTTCCCAACCTGGCCACCAATTTGAAGTATTGTTCTTGAACTGCCCTCTTAGGAACATATGAGGGATAGCGTTTAATTTCCTACTGGATTGTAAGAATATGATTCAAATACATCTGTTTGTTTAAGGAGTTGCACAAGTCCTGGGCCCACTTTATGTGCTCTTCTGTACTGGCTCAAACCAAAGATGACATCATGTTTTTGACCACTAGCTCAGTGGTCAGACTTATCTATTACCATCAGTCACCCTGTCTTCTCACATCAGCCACCCTTAAGATGAAGACCAGACTGTACATCCACAATGGCACCTGCCACAGTAGGACCCTAATCTTTCTGGCCACTAACTTAGCCAAATAGAGGCAGCAAAGTTCCATTATCATAGGGCGACTGCTTTCCCAGTACAGTTTACAAACTGGAAGTACATAAGGTTAATATAATGTGGGATAAATATTTACCAATGAAATATAAACTGTGGCATGGAACTGGACACAAGTATCTCTGTCTTCCCCTAGCAGGCTATTCCAAGTTTAAAGGTTTCATGTTTATTCACATTGCCAAACCAGCCATGTTTCACCCAACTCTAGCTTTCGCCGTGTGATTTCCCTATTGTTGCCACAAGATTGCGAAAGAAACTGAATTAAAATCTAGTTTTTTAACTCATGATTTTTGTTTGCTGAGTGGCAAACTATGGTTAACAATTAATATCCCTAGGGTTCGTATTGAAGTTTCTAATTTTGTAAACTTCTTAACTATTTTTAATATACTATTTAAAAAATAAAACTTAGAGCAACTTTTACTCTTCTCCATTTTGTCTTACAACTTTTTTCAGTACTCTGATTTTCCTCTGTGGTTCCCTATTTGAACTTTTCTCAATATAGGGATGGCATGTAGGTGCTGTCCCCACATTGTAACACAGCGTAACCATTTACAGTGCCATCTTATAGCAAAGCAGATCCTTCTGTTATATACACAAATTGTGGCATTTTGGCAGACTGTGATAAATTTTGAATAACAGCTTACAGCCTTAAATCACTTATCACAGAATACTGAACTTTTCTGACCATGCATCCATTAGAGAGGTCAGGACTTCAATATTACCTTCAATATCACCTTTCCCTTTTTAACCATTCTCTCTAATAAGGAATTAGGTATGAAAAAAATTATATACTCATAGTACATCTATTAATATTGAGCAGGAAGGCTCTGCTGATATTTCCACTGCAAGCAAAGCTTAAAACTTTACCTATTAAATTGGTATATCACTCATGCTATCTGTTTAAAATTTGAGTTAATTTTCCACGTTCTTCTAGACATGGATACATGAAGCTTGTGGGATTGTTTACTATGCTTGCAATTGTTTGGTCTCCAATTGAAATATCCTCCATTTGAGTGGAGAGAAGCTTACTCTCCAAATTTTCAAATTTTCCTCTACTTCTCCTTTGGTCATGAATGCCCTTTACTCTCTCATTACCCACTGATTGTGTCATGAAAGCTAATCTTTTGGAATATTACAAATGATATTCATATTCATAAAGACTATTAAGATGTAAGATGAAAGTTGGAGCAATACCACATCGCATTCCCCTTGAAACAAAACAATGACAGGTACAAACATTAAAAAGCAAATCACATTTTTGCACATCATCCATTATGTTTGCATTTAACAGGTTGTTAAAGGTTCTACATCTTCTGAATTTATTAGATTGGTATTTAGCATGTTCTATGTCCAAAATACCAAAGAAGTTTCCTTATTGCTGGTTAAATTAGCCTCATGAAAATATTGTTGGTAAAAGGTTAAAGAAATGAGTAAGACATCTAACCAAGCAGCATATTAGACCATTTGGCACTATAATTTTGGAAACGCATTCTGATGATTTAAATGAACTCAGCTAAAGGGTAGACATTTAGATAAAAGTTAATAATTAAAGCTTAAATGGCATGATTAGCTCTTCTTTTCAATGAAAAGGGGACAATAAATATGCATAAGGTCTTTACACTATTCTTCTGGGAAAATTAATGCCAATGAAACCATACCTTATAATATTTATTATTCAAAATTTAAAATATTACAGCTACATTATATATAAACTAGGTCACCTGAGTGTTTTATGTTCTTTCAGACATAGCAATAACTGTTCTCATAGTCTTTGAATTTGGATCATTGAAGGTTAGAATTTAATTATCTTTATTTTAATGTTTGTATTTGCTTTTAATTGATAGAGTAATAAATAAAGAATGTTTCTCTATATTAAAAATAGTAAGTTCGCATCTCTACAAAAATTTTATCAAAGAATTTAACCTTTCCTCCCCTTTGTTATAATGTTTTTTAAGGTTTGTATAATCTAAAATACATGTATTTTCTCTTGTGTTTTATTTTAAGTAATCAACACATAACTTTTCTGAGAAAAATATTGAAAAATGTTATTAGTGCTATAGCCCTGATTGAAGTTCTGTATCTACAGATTTATGATCAAATAGTTTTTCCCCTTTTTTGTATTAACAGAAACCAGGAGTTAAAAGAACTTGGTGAACTTTCTCCGCACTGGGACAATCTAAGGAAAAATGTCCTGACTCACTGTGATCAAATGGTGAACATGTACCAAGACATTCTGAGCGAACTTATCAAGGAGACAGGTGGGAAGTCAACAGCTTTACTCCTTTAAACTGACCTGCATTTCACATATGCCATACAGAACAATAACAAAGGCTTTTTTATGGAGTTAGGAAGGTCAAAGATTTCTGTAAAAGTTATTTCTAGCTCTATTATCTGGGAATCTAAGGTTATAAAAAAGGTGCCATTTTATCTTACAATATTATTATAAGAATAGTTAAAATATTTTAATAATTGAATTTCTGAGGAAATCCATACATGCAAATTGTGTTTATTTCTGAAGTTCTTGTAACATTTTTTGTTACACGTATCTGTCAACATGTACCTTTTAAAATTTATTTATTTATCAATAATACTTCATTTTGTTTCTTCTAGGGTCCTCTTTCAAATCCAGCAGCAGCAAAGGAGATAAAACCTTAGAATTTGTTCCTGTAAATCTACACCTACAAAGAATGCATGTGCATAGCCCTCACTTGAAAGGTATTATATATATATATATATATATATATATATATATATATATTCTTTTGTAAATGAATAATTATCTTGCAATGCATACTTTAAAAAGCTTGACTATTGCCAGAATTTAAAAGTTTAAGAGTTATATAGGGATGAAGATAAAACCTAAATATAACAAAAGAAATTTTGATATGTTTGAGTTTGGATTTCTGGGCCATATTCTGTGACTCTGATACCTGAACTGAGTAGAAATAAAAATGCACAAAGAACGTTTAAGCTCTCTCTGATAATATTCATCCTAAGTAGTAGTTGGTAATTGTGCTATTGTTTGAATCAGAAATGAGAGAGAGACAGACAGCACTTGGTTTCTACCTGTCTTTTTAAACCATAGCCCCAGTATGTGTTAACATGCCATTTTTCTTAAAGATGTCTACCAACAGTAACATTCTTTCTCATTGCAGCAAGTCATTGTAATAAGATTACATAGGTAGGAAGTGGCAGAATCTTTTAATATACTTGTTTTATCAAGGAAAAAAGCTAATATTAAAAACCTTTATGTAATAGTAAAATGTTTATGCATTGAGGAGAAGTGTATCTAAGAGAAGAGGGAGTGGAATTGCAGCTGGGCCACCATTTATATGTCACCTCAGTCTGTCCCGCAATTATTTCAAGTCAAGTTGTCCTCGTTTCTGATCAAGAGAGGCATGTAATGGATCTCTTAGTTTTATCAAAACTATTATTCAAATAAGACCATACTGAAAGACAGTGCAGTCTTGTTAAAAAAAAAAGTATCTCAGTTTACAGAAAAGATGATTTACAGAAACGTTTTGGAGAAATCTACACAAGTGAGAACTTAATGGCTGATGGAATGAGGTCATGAGGAAGCTGATACTGTGGGTTATGTGGTCACTGATGAATGACAGTGTCATCAAGCTAGGTGGACTGGAGTGCTACAGTATGAAATCACATCGAACTGTATGTTCAAATATTTGATAATGGTCTTTAGCATACTTCTACCAAACAAGCAGCAGTGATTATCAAATTCGCCTTTTATTTTATACTTCTTTCTGGAAAATGAAAGAACATGTTTTAACAGAGACTGAAAACTCAACTTCAGTGGTGATAACTTACTTCCTTGGTTTTAACCAGTTACTTAAACTCTCTGTCAGTTTTCTCAAGTGTAAAATAGAAACAATGGAAGTTGTAATAGATGGTAGTAAATCAAGTTTTATATTTGTGTATATAACATTTTAGACAGATTTTGAATTGCAGTTAAATTTAGAGATTTGTGGTGTCTGATTTGGATGTCTAGCTGAATTACACAGAACATTTTACAAGTTAATGATACAAGGTTGGTTAAGCCCTGGTATTTCACTGGTGAGTTATTTGGACGTAGTCTGTGTAATGTAGTGTACATTTTTTATTCTTACCCTTATTAAATTATATCTACTCATATTTGATTAATAAGCCTTGCATATTTAGAGAACTGACTTTGCAAATAATAGCAGACAGGATGACCCAATGAAAGACTATTTCTCTAAAAAAGCAACCAAGCAGAACTCGCATTATGATATTATATACTGACAAATGAAATAATCTCTAAGTATTTTTGAGTATCTCCAGGCCATTTCTAGTTTTTCATCCTCATTTGTTATCTAAATTAAAAGCAACAAATAAAATATCCACCACAATTGGTATCTAAGCCATCAATAGAAAAAAATTTAAAATAAATTCTTCTGATAAAAATTAATACATTTCATTTTCATAGAACATCAGATGCAAATATAAAATATGGATTCGTTTAATATTATAACAGTATTTTGTATGTTGTAGATATACAAGAGCAAAGTCTTATATTTTGCTATGAAATGAGATACACTCAAATCCTTTTTATCATGGAGAAAGAGTTTAGTTCTAATTTACAGCCAGTAAGTTTATTTTTTAAGTCACCATTGTAATTTGTAAAATGAAAAAATTTTTTGGAACTTTGTATTATTAATAGCACAAGTAACTTTAAAATTATGTGTTCTGTGTATATTAGCTCTATAACCATGATTTCATATTATAACCCTATTCTGTTATATATACACATGATTGGATGATCAGAGCTTGACACAGAGCTTATGTGAAGGGCAAGGAGAGACAGAATAGGTGACTTAAGCTCTGTCAGTTGAGTTTTTCTTATGATTCATTAAGATGTTTCTGCTAATGAGTTTAACTGTGCTCCAGGATATGCAGCGCTGGCCTGGAAAGGTCACAGAAAATAAAATCAAAGATACAACACACAAAAAAAGAACAGAGCTATTTTCATCTCTTTCCAGTTTTTAATTTAGGCTTACAACCTATATAGTTCCTGCCTTGAACATTCCTGTTAACACACACACACACACACACACACACACACACACACACACACACACTGATTTTTTTGTTAGTTTGTTTCTTTGCTTTTTAGGTATTTCAGATAGGGATCTGTGAGTTGCACTGAAAGAGATTTAAGTAATGCATGTTTTAAAATAAAGCAAAACTATTTGCTATCATAAAGCTGCGATTGTAATTAGGTTCAGTAGGAGCAGCAGACCTCTTGGATCCTTCCTCTTCTAATTGCTGCACTGAGGGAAAGCTCAGTAAAGGGGTGTTAGAGTTCCTTCAAGAGTTTGTGCACATCATCCCATGGATGAAGCATTATTGCCTTCAGTTACTTCAGGGAATGGTGTCAAATTGCTTCAACTCTATTGAAAGACATTTCTCTTTAAAATCCTTAATATATTATGAATGTTATAAAATGTCCAAGGGATTTGCAAGCCACTTTAAAGTCAGGGTTTATGCATCTTCCTTATACTATGAGATCACTATGTCTACAGTTTCTTCCCCTTGGCAGTACTTTACAATTGAAAGAATTTTAAAGAGATCTTTTGCAAAAACAGAATCATCTCATTTCTACTATTAAATGACTTTTTTAAAGTCTACAAAGGAAATCTACTCTAAAATCTCAAACCAACTTCGTATCTTATTTGAAGAGACTCAAAGACTTAAGTTCTAATTTTCCTTGGCATTGAACATTTAGCCATTTGCACAAAGACAATTTTTAAGATACCATAAAATGTCAAAGAAGGAAGACACAGTTTTTCGAAGGCATGTAAAGGACCTTTAAACTGGTCCTTTCCTTAAATTTTCTGTAAAACATTCCCACCTTGATTTTTATGATTGTCTCTTGATATCAAAGTGTGATTTACATAACTAGGGGCTATTAAAATCATGAAGATGCATAATTTAAAGAGTTGAATAAACCAGAGGTATTTTTAAAAGGATAATATAAATTCAAACTTTTACATTTTGCCTTGGAAATAAAATTTTGTTTCTTTATCATTTTGTATATTTGTTTTTAGAGGAAAACAACTGCAATTAATAACTTTAAGGGAGTACAACTGCCCAGCTAAGAATGGACATGATTCTTTAAGTGTGTGCCATTTCTCATTAACTAAAGAGACTGGAAAATAAATCACACTAATAGATCAGTCTATTACTGTTGTAGTAAATGCCAATGGAATTCAAGCCTGAAGGAACCGAGGCTATAAACCTATCTATTCTAACTTTAGATATTAGTAACTAGAATTATAAAGTGACACTTGGAAAATATTGACTTCCTTAGATAATAAATTTGTTATTTTGTAGAAAATTTTGGATAATAAATTTGTTATTTTGGCAGAGTGGTAGAGCGCTTCATCAGAGAGAGAGAGAGAGAGAGAGAGAGAGAGAGAGAGAGATGGATGAGAGAGAAGGAGAGGGAGAGAGATGGGGAGAGAGAGAGGGATAGAAGGAAGAAATTATAGGGAGGAAGGAAAATATTATTTCTTGCTAGAATGTTCAGAGAGGACTCAGTTCAAGGTAGAAACTGAGTTTAATGATAAAACAGAGTGGAATTCCAGTGAAGAAACTGGGGGAAGTGGAGACAGAAAAAAATCTAAAGCAGAGAACATATGGATAAAAATGTAAAGATTTCAAAGTACAATGAAGCATTCAAAAAATATAAAACCTTCACTGTGGCCAGATAACTTGGTCATTCATTAAAAAGTGAGCATTTCCTTTGTGCTGAGCACTAAGGATACCCTGTTAAACATGATTATAATAACTTCCATTTTCTCACAGTGTATGAAAATGCCCAAATGATGCAACCGAGGAAGAATTGGTATCTGATCCTGTAGGTCTTGTACATGAGTTAAGATCCCTGAATAACCTTCTACCAATATCTGAAATTTATAATGAGATTCAAATATGACTCTCCCTTCACAGGAGCCTTGATTAACTGGCAACCCATATAAAAATGAACATCTACCTTGTAGATCTAGGGAGGCTCATATCAAAGAAGAAGGTGTAAACTTGGCAAGAAATAAAGATAGGTCCCCGGGAAGGTAAAACTCATCAACATGGATAAGAATTAAGAATTTGGAAGTAGGAATGTTAGAAGCGATCAGATACAATGATGAAGGAGACAGAAGAATTGCAGGTGTACCTGAGACGCCCCTGGGAGGCTTCATGCAGCGTATTGTCTGCAGTGGGCACAGGAGCAAGGGAGGAAGAGAAGGATGCAAACAAGAAAACGAATCACACTTAACTAACTGGGTGACATTTAATACATTAGGAAAACTTACACGATGAATTACTTCATTTGAAAGAAGCCAGAAGGGGCCAGGAGGCTTAGTGAAAGGCCACTATAGGCCTTAGAGAAAGTACCATTTATTAAGCTTAAAAAGGGATAAGTTGATAAATAGAAAATAGGAAGGAAAAAATTAAAAGCAAGGAATTTACAAAAAGCTTGTTAGTACCTTTAAGAATTTTATCCGAGAGACTTTCAATAAACACAGTATACTTCTTTTGGATTTAAGAATTGATCAGCTTTTATGATCAGGAGAGATGATTCAGGCAACTTCTTTCTCTTCACTTACCTGCTGATTTAGGGTCTCTGAGGATTTAGGTTCCAGTAAGAAGGATGAAAAGAGAAAGATTCTATTCCTAGAAGGCAGCTTTGAATATGGATAATCTGAGGAGGTAGATTCACCGTGAAGCTAAAAGCACCTGTGTCGCACACCTCCCCTTTGCATGGCTCCCTTACAAGACACTGCAAGGAGCCCTAGCAACATGTGTGAAGACATGTCCCTAGCAAAACGAAGTTTTTTAAACCCCCAGCAGAGAAGAGTTCTGTCTCTTCCTTCTCAGATTGCCCCTCCTCATCTTTCCTTTCTTCTTGTGTGTGCTGCAGAAATCATAAGCTTCTTTTTTTTTTTTGGTCTTTTTCCTTTTTATTGGTACCGGGGATCGAACTCACGACTGCCTGCTTCCAAGGCAGGCGCTTATGCCGCTGAGCTAAATCCCCAGCCCCTCATAAGCTTCTTTGAATCTTGGAGGGGTTGGGGTGGCGGGCTATAGGCAGTTGTTTCAAGAAAGTGAATTAGGAATACATTTAATGTGGACTTGGATCTATCTATCATCTATCATCTATCATCTATCATCTATCAATCATCTGTCTGTGTTTTTAAAAACAGCTGTATTATGTATCTTAGATACTTTCTTTGTTGCTGAGACAAAATACCTGACACCCAAAGTTAACGGAGGAAAGGTTTATTAAGACTGCAGTTTCAGTTCATAGTTGATTGGCCAAAAGGCAAAGTGGCATGACAGTGGGGTATCACAGAGGAGAACCAGTCTGTGACAAGGACAAGGTAGAGCAGACAGAAGGCAGCCAGCAGCAAGGGACAAGTGATAAATAGTGATCAACTACAGCCTGTTTCTGTGTCTTACATTTTATCCAGGCTACCCTCCCACCCTTAGTCCTAACATTACACCATGAATCAATCCCAGCATCACCAACTTGATCCAAGGATCACACAACCTAGATCTAGACACCTCTAAAAATCCCTGCCTGTGACCACATGAGACTTTGAGGGGGCATCTGGATACAAGCCATAATATCATGTGTATTTGGTAGACAAAAATTACATATATTTAATGTATACAATTGATACGTTGAACATAGGCATGGAGCCATGAAATCATGACCACAACCAAGGCAATAGATAGATCCATCACCTCTGAAAGTGTCCTTACATCTCCTTGGGACTTGCTATTTTTGTATTAAAAAGACAGCATAAGATCTATGATCTTTATGGAACTTTAAGTAAACAATATTATACAACTGCTACATAGAATTTGTTCATCTCACATAGCTAAAGCTTCATGACCTTTTAATATGAACTGCCCATTTCCCACTGCCTCTCTCCTTGATTGACACCATTATATTCTCCAATTCTGTGAGTCTGACCATTTTATATTTCTCATATGTAGTAAATAGAACATGTATTTATCTTTCTCTGACAAGCTTATTTCACTCAGCATAGTATCCTCCAGGTTCTTCCATGTTAAATGTCACCATTTTTTTCTTTTTAAGATTAAGTAGTAATTCTGGTCACTCTTGTTTATTTTTGGAGCTGCTGGTCACCCAGGTTTTGACATAAATGTGACAGGTCAATTGCAGTGACATGCTGATTTGTCATTTTGCACTTAGTTTAAATTAACAGAGAAATTGATTCAACTGAGAAGACTAAGCCCCAGTATCATTTTCAATCTCAAACTGAAATGCCTGTCTTGATGCAGAAACGAGTAAAAGTTAAAAATCGCCTTCTGTGGTGAGATTTACTTCTTATGGAGAAAATAATTATAATTACTGAATAATGGCATTTTTAACTACTTTACTTTCAGCTCCATTTTTATAGCTGAGTTAACTGAGATGTAAAGAAGTTAAATAACTTTCTCAGTGTCCTACAACTTTTAAGTAGTAGAGCTGGGACCCAGACCAAGGGGCTCAGGATTTAGCTTCTGATTGAAATCCTAGGGAAACACTGATCTCCTTCCCTGATGAGAAGTCATAGGTGTAAGGACATTTTACTGGAAAGTGGGTAACTTTTCCTGAACCTCAAATTTCTTAATTCGATACATAAAAATAGACCAGAATTGTAACTTTGAAGTGGCCTCATGACTCTGAGCTAGCCATGTGCATTCCCATGAAGTAAGGCAGGTTTACGTGTACAGTCTACATATACCCAAAGTCACTGTGCAACCCTTTCTTATTATGGGCGAAATTTGTGGATTATGACATATTTAAATCTCTTACAAATCTAGTATTCTGCTATCATTTAAAAAGGTGTCTTCTACCTTATTAATGACTTTTCAATGGCAAAATTTTACTATAATAGAGATCTGTTAATTAATTATCATATGCCCTATTTATGGATTGGAGAGTGTTGTGTTTCTCCTGAGCTTGAGTGTTTGACGTGCTACTAAAGTCTTTCATTTGAAGACATATTGTTTTGTTGTGTTATGTTTTATTGTGGTGTGTTGTTTTAAACAAAGATCATTTGGATATATGTATGGATTGAACATCTCTGAAAAAGATACGGTTTTTACTTGAGGCTGACAAAATAATTCATGTTTTCTAGGAAAATGAGATCCAGAAAACAACCAGTATTTCAGTACCAAAATCAATTTGTAAAGGATCTACTTTGAAATTAGATTTCTCAATAACATGTAGTTTAACAAGAGGACATTCATGATGTCTTCCTCCTTATGAGGATGCTTTTCATTAGGATGTAAAAATGATGACATGTTTTGAATCATATGGTTAATATGTATGAAACCTGAAGGCTTTTAAGATCAAAGGATTGCATTTCAATTTAAATGTATGGATGTTTTATTATTAAAATGAAGTGTCTGACTGAAAGATAAACTAAAAGCCATTTTGTTCATGTTTCATATATCCTCTGAAGAAATTACAAACATATGCACTTGAAATTGTATAAGACATATACAAGCAGGAAATGACTTACACAGATTTTTTAAATGCCCTAGTATTGTTCTGCCCTTGAGCCAAAATGCATTATTTTGATTTTTCTCCCTGTAAAACGTGGTTGAAGGATTGTTCATTATTGTTGAATTTCAATATGATTGCAAATTAAATGATGCAAAACTCAATAAAGTAAAATACACAAAAGACCAATTAACATGTTATCTCAGTAAGTAGAGAGAGGGCTGGGAAAACACACTGTTCTACACTGTGGCATATAATTAAGATGTAGTCATAAATCAGGAAAATATTATAACTTCTTGAGGTGCACAGGTGGCTTTTAGGAAGATCGATTAGCTCGTCGTACCCCCTGGAGATGAGACTTAATAGTTACTCTTACCAATTTAAACAGAATAACTTTTCCAACTTCCTCAGTAGGTGTGCCTCAGTGCCAACAGCATGCGGGAGCCCATGTTTGCAAAGTGTTCATCTCCTTGTTTGTTCCCGTTGCAGATGCTCTGTATGATGTCATCACGGTGGGAGCCCCAGCTGCCCATTTTCAGGGATTTAAGAATGGTGGTCTTCGGAAACTGCTCCACAGATTTGAAACAGAGAGAAGAAAGTAAGTAAAGGCAGCAAGGAAATGCACATTATCTTAATGCTACTATTTTCCCTTTGAATGAATGTTTAGGCAAGGTTAGGATAAAGAACACTGGTCCAGCACAATGAATACTTCTTGACATCTGTAAGTCATTAGATCACTTAAAGTTATTGTATTTCTCTGAACTACTTGAGAAGAAAGGAGAATAAGCAAAAATCCCTACACAGGATGTGCTTTGAGCAGTACTGTGCTGGCAGACTTTGTGTTGAAAGCCATACTACTAAGAGGTGATATTCTAGAAGCAGTTGTTGCTCACTCAAGGAAGTGTTCAGCGTGTAGCTTCTTAACATCATCCAATTTAATATGAAGACACAGACTCTTAATGTAAAGTGTAGGGCCTGTTTTATAACTTTGACCCTACTAGTGATTTCTAGTGTGCCTAGTGTGCCACATAAGTGTCTCATCTTTTAACTGTGCCATTTGTAAAGGAGTTATCTGTATGGAACACTGTCCATTAAGTAACGAGAAAACTTTCTGTTCTTTAGCACAAAAACCAAAGCACTGTTGCTGTATGTAATTCTATTATTCTCTTCCTCAGTTTGTGGCTTTAGTACTTGTAAGTATTGCCCTACACAGTGCTTACATCCATTCTTTATCCGTGTTCCATTCCCTGTCCGGATGACCTTACCCTCTACTGTGCTTGGCTATGACTGCTCTCAGTGTGAACCGTAATGAGCATTATCCGGCTGTGAAGAGTAACTTCCATTTTCCAATAGTTACACTATTTAGAACCCAAATTTTGAGCATCAGGAAAAAAGAATTATTGTGATTCATAGTTGGTTTAAAATTGTATTAGAATATCTATTTGATCAAGAAAAGCTGAACTTTTTAAAGTTTGATCACATTTGTTACCTATGACATTTGCTTTTCTTGATGCCCAGATGTTCAGTAGGAAAACACTTAAAGTAATTTAGAATTGAATAACTGACATGCTCTCTCATAAATATATAACTAGGTATGGCTTTTCTTTCTCTTTTTCTTAAAGTATTGAATTTGGAACAATTTTATTGACTCAACTGCAGTTCTCATTTGTGTTTCTATTTTTTGTTTTGTGGGGTAAGGTTTACATTTCTATGGAATTGTGTTACATGTGTTAATTATCATTATCCTGAGCAGATTATCACTATCATAATCATCATGGAACTGTTCCATCACCACAAAGAACTCTCAGCTACCTCTTAATTTTTACCCTTTCCCCAAAACTTCTTGCTCTAAAAAATGTTTCTGTTGCCTTCCTGCAGTGGTGAGTGGAAATCAGAGTTCTGGAAATAGTCTCTGCCAGGAAGAGGAATCTCCAATTTACTTCCTGGGAATCACAGTCATTTTAAACTAAAGACAACACCAGGAAAAGCATCTTTCTCTTAACTGAAGTGGGAGTGGGTAGAGAAGACAGGTTGCATGGACTGTACTAGATAAGCACTTCTCACTGACATGCTTATGTCATCTTTGATTAGAGGAGGTACATGAACTCTCTGTAGTCCTCACTCACAGAGCAGCTGATTAAAAGATACAGGTTCCATGGTGTCAGTCTTCTCCCAGTCCTGTGTGTGTGTGTGTGTGTGTGTGTGTGTGTGTGTGTGCTGTCCATTACTTTTTTTTGTTGAAGTAGGGTCTCTCTAACTCATTGCATTGCTCTTTCTGGGGCTCAACTCACAGTTCTCCAGTTTCACCTCAAACATGGCTGGGATTTCAAGCATGTGCCACCACACCTGGCTTTGGATGTCGTGCTGTTGTCATTGTTGTTGATGCTGACATTTTGCTGCAGTCAGGGCTTCTCTGGAAGGAGGCAAGAAGACAAGGAGGCAAGACACATGGACCTCATTTTCATGTCATTTCTTTCTTACCTGCTTCCTTCACCTCTTAGAGTCATTTGACATGACGCTTATAGTTAGTGCGGAGTGTTTTCTTGTGGTTAGCATAAGGGAATCGGTTGTTTATTCTAACTTGTCTACAACTGGAAATCTTTGCCTTGAGAATTCACTTAATTATTTTTTTGTTTGTTTTTCAATCAAATTTTGAAGTGGAGGGCCCGAGGGTGTAGCTCAGTGGCTCAGTGCCTGCCTGCCAAGTGCAAGGCCCCAAGTTCAATTCCTAGTTCCACTCTCCACCAAAAGTAACAAACTTTAAAGTAGATAGCATAATAAGAAGCCTAAACTCTTCGCTGGGAATTGAATGAACCTAAAATTCACCTAAAATTGAATGAACATAAAGCATTATTATGTTAGGTGACACATGGAGAATAATCATATAATTTCATAAAATATCAAGATATGCTATTGGCAAAGATAAATGTTAAGTTGTTTAACTGTACCTTGAGTAATATTTCTCAAGTTTTAATGTCTGTATAAATATCTTCATTCTTCACTTCTGTTACTGCTTACTGGGTTGTTACATATAAAACACACCCATACTTATGGGTTTAGGATCAAATTTAAGTTAAAGCTAAAAGGAAAATGTAACCAGGGCTTATAATTACTGATTATGGTAGGTTTTTTATTATATGTTACATATCCAATTTATTTATTATTTGTGAAATGTAATAGAATATTTTAAAATTAACTTAGTGTGGCTCCAGAGGGAAGTGTGTAGGTCCGCTATCACCGCTGAGGCCACATACACATGAATTTCACACTGGCCTGTCTACTAAAAGCTATCCTAAGGAAAGAATGAATTTCTAAACAAATATCACATTGTGATAGTATTTCTTTCCACAGATGGTTTAAGCAACAAATTTTGAGTTTGTCAGTCAAAACCAATGTAGAGAAGTAAATCTTACTATAAAGTTTGTATCTTGGTTTTTAAAGTAAGCAATTCATTTTGCAATGAAGAACATCACCTTACATGAAGGAAATTCTCTTTGTCTCTTTTTTCTTTTGAAATACCCACTGCTCTCAAAGAATAGTCACATCTTTTAGGCAACATTTTTTGGAGAAACTAGCACTGTCATTGTATTATTTCATCTTATTTATTTTCTTCTCACCTGAGCCACTGAGAAGTGTTGTGATTTACATTTCTGTTCCTCAGTGACCTAGTTCTTGATGAACACCTTGAGCACATAATGAAAAAGTTTATTTAGCATAAAAAGAATATTGCTCGTAGCATTCTATAATGCAAGTCATATCATGTACAAATGTACTTTTAAAAGTTTCAAGGTAATTACAAAAATCGATCTTCTAAAAGCACAAATGCCTGAGTGTATTACTCCTTTATTCAGAAATTTTAAGTGAAGTCTATGCTTATCTACCAAATGTTGAAGGCTTCTGTGATTTCTCAACCTTCTGTCTTTGTCATCCACTTCTCCTGTAGTTGCTTTTCAAATGCTATGGAACTATTTCCTAAAGGGCGTTTCACATTTTCACCACTAGGTCTTTTCTTGTTCTGTTGCATTTCATGAGAAATTCCACTGCTCTCCTCATTTGCCTACCATTTTCCTTTTTTGTCAAGACCATCTATATAATCCAGTTCTAAATCTTACAAACGGTCTTCTCTGATTCCATGATCATCATTAAGCTTTCCTTATTTCTCAAGATGGCTTGCTCCCCTGCCATCTTTATTTTCATAATAGTCCTACTAGATCCCAGTAATGGTGAATGACATTTTCCCTTACTTCATATTTTCATAATTGATGGTCTTCTTGTTGAGCAAGAGATGATGATTTTGAAATTTGGCTTTTCCACAGTGGCCTGTAGAGCACTTTGAGTACCACATATAATAAAGTTCCATAGGTCCTGGAATTCACATATAAACCAGGTGTGAATAGTCTCTCAAAACAAGTGTTGGAAACCACTTGTTGGGGGAAAAAAATTCTCCCAAAAATTTAAACTGCAGAGAGATCAGTACAACACACAGTAAAGCAGAGGTTCTCAGCATTGTCTGCAAATCAAATTACTTTTAAAGTAAATATTTTACTCATAACACAGTATGACCCTAGACAAATCACATCATAGACATTCAGAAGGCAGCCCAGGCACTGGTACTTTAAAAGCTTCCCAGATGAGTCTAGTGTGCATCCACAGGGCTGTGAGAAAGCAGCTGTAGCATGTGGACAGTAGAAACAGGAGGAGGTACTCTTAGTTACTTTGTGTTCCTGAGATAAAATGACCTACACACAAAATTAAAGAAAGAAAGGTTTGTTTCAGATCACGGTTTGTAGCAAGTTCAGTCCATAGTTGGTTGACTCCAAGGCCGAGCAGAATGACAGAGGACAAACAGGCCATGGCAGTACAGGTAGGAAGGAACCAGCAGTGAGCTTGCCTTCTTTCTGTCCTTTGTATTTTATCCAAGTTGCGAACCTATGGGTTGGTACCAGCCACATGCAGGTTGGGGCTTCTCTTCTGTAAATCCATTTGGCCACACCTAGAGCTATGCTAGACCAATTAGTAGATTAATCCAATACCACACACCCTTAATCCAATCACCACACACTCATGATCCAGCCACTTCTCAAAAGCCCCATCTATGAGGACATAGGCGTTTGTGAGGATATCTAGGTACAAGCCATTCCAGGTACCCAGGAGAATTTGATTTGAAACTATACAGACTTAGAGGAAAGAAAGTCTTTGGAAAATATACTTATTGAAGTACAGAAGAAAAGTTTTGTAACTCACTGCCAATTTTTGTGTAAAAACATACTCATTAGACAGTTACAAAATGAAATGAAATAGGAAAAGAAAGTTATAAGAATTTTGATCCACAATAGCTTGGGTTTTGGAAACAAAATCAAACATATTGCAGAAGTTTTCAGGCTACAAACTGGAGATTTTATAGGAGAAACAAAATGCTAGATACATATATTTCTCAAGGACTGAACTCAGGTGATTTGTAACCCATGGATTGACTTGTGACAGCAAACATCTACTTGTACTGGGGATCAATGATTTACCAAGATGCTATGTGTGAAAGTCTAGAGATACAAACAGACTCAGCATCATTTAAAATAAAAGGGAAATTATCACTACCACATATATTTTGCTCTCTTTGCACATAATAATTTCATCCAGAAGACCAGATTTTGCCAGGACTGTCACTAAGTGGCATCATGATCTGAAAGCATGACCCTTCCATTAAGATAAAAGCATTCTTTGTAAAGAAGGATAAAGGTCAGTTGAGGGATTTGTTAACTTCCTGTTAATATTTTAATTACTTGCAATGCACTAAATTGGAATAAACTCAGAGCCAATGCCAGCGAGTGATTTCAGGGTTAAATGCCTGGCTGACTGATTACCCCAGTATCCCACTACCACCCATGCTACAGATCCCAAAACCAATATTAGTTACCCACCAATTTCAAGTCAAAGTGAAAAAAAAATCAGTCTTAAGGAAGAAGAACTAAAATTCCACCAATAGGAATGTTTTAGGTTCTACTTAAAGTTACAAAAATTGTGGGCCATATTAGAATTTGAGAGAATCTTATGCAGAAAGTAAAACAGTGTTTTAATCTGTTCTTGCTGTGTCTGTAACAGCATACTTTAGCTAGGTCATTTATAAACCACAGAATTTTATTGCTTACAGTTCTGGAGGCTGGAAAATCCAAGAGCAACATGCTAAGAGATTGAGAGTGTGGTGAAGGCTTATTTCTCATCTAGTGGCAGGACAAGGCAGTCCTCTGAATCTTCACTCACAGGAACATCTCATTCATAGGGGTAAAACTCTCCCACACTAATCACCTTCTAAATCAAGGTTCTACCTTGTGCTATCATCATCTTGGTGATTAAGGAGAACTCAAGAACTCAAGACATAGCTAAAAGTTACACATAGAGTTAAGTCTTACCCTCCGTGAGATCAGTGATTTTATACTCACAAGAGAAAAAACTCTGGAACTGAAAAATTTCCTCATGATTGGAAGACAGCATGCAAGTAGATTATTTCCTCATTCTCTATTATTATTAGGAGGCTTCTTGGGCAAAAAGAGGAAACTGTAAGCCACAGGCTGGTTCTTTCTCTCTCAGAGAACCTGCCTGTGGCTTACAATTAACAGGAATGGAATAAATCTGAAACAGGGGAACTGGATACAAAACTTCTACTGCTACCTTTGAAATGAGTTTTGCAGACAGAATCACTAACCACTATGTAGCCTGATGGAGACAAAATATAAATAAAGGTTTTTAGTAGTCTACACAAAATGTTGAGAAGCTTTTCTAACTCTTCTCTATGCCTACTGTAGTACAGATAAACTAGTTAGTAGCAGAAGTACTTGTTTTGAAACCTTTTGCTTCTATGCTCAGATATAAATTTTCTTATCATTTTTATATAAATAAGTACAATTCAAATGGAAATGTGATGTGATTGGGGCAAAGAAAATATTATTCTCCTTAGTTGGAGGTCTTTTTCTGTCTCTCAGTTGGTGTATTGCTCACACACAGTGGTCTTATAACTCATTGATAGAGCCACTTGGAGTCTGAGATGCTAATTCTGCTTAGTATTTTGTATGAATCCATAGGCATTGTCACCTATACTTTAAAATTAATATTTGATCTTTTAATCATAAATATTATAATGATTTTATGGATATATTTCAAATTTCTATAGAAATGTAGGAAGAAATTAAAAGCATCCCTAACCTTTCTCCCCAGCATAACAGTTACTGGCAGCATATTGGTATATCCTCTTTCAGTCTTTTTTGCACATATAATCTATAACTATACGCTTTTCCTATTATAGATTCAAAATTGCAAAAGTGCCCATGTAAATAATTCTTGAAAGATGTGTTTTATTTAACATAAACACAATATTCTTTACTTTTAAAACCATGTATTTGTGTCTCTTTGGAAGCCATATCCAATATACCACAGCTAAGCCGCTTAAAAATATCAGTCTCTAGCTTTGTGCAGCAGCAGTGTCATAGCCAATGAGGTTTATCAGAGGTGCGGTTATTGCTAATTGAAAAATATCAATCTCAGAGTCAAAGCTAAAATGCATCTCACATTTGCTTTCATATACAGATTTTGTTTTCCTTTCAAAAGAATACTTTCTGTCATAACATTTTTTAAAACTGGTATAATTAAATCACATAGGCATAATGGAAATAAAAATAAATTTAAAATCTCTGATATTTCTTCGTTTTTTTTTTCTGTTTTGAACCATGTCCAATTGTGCTATGACATTTTGAAGGAGATGGCAATTTAATTTTTGTGTTGATTATAATTTGATTCCTTGGGGATATATTTTCTTCCTCCTGAGAGTTGGCTCCCGTTGGCCACTTGTGGCTTCAAGTTTAGTTCTTATTTTAGCAAACAGTAGTGAGGTTTGCCAAATCTGTGCACCATTCTTTTCCTCTCCAAGAAGACATTTTTGTATGCAGCTCTTTATAAATAACACCATGTCTTCAAGAAGAAATGAGTTGTATCTCTCACCTACAGCTTGGGATAGGGAAATAAATGTTTTTAATTGAATAACCTCATGAGATTTGGCCATGCTGTACAGAGTGAAACTGAGGCTTACAAAGCATTGAACATGTGGTACAACCTTTTTTTTCTTTCTGTACTGGTAATTGAATTCAGGACCTCACACTTGCCAGGCATCTGCTGTACCACTATGCTATATTCCCAGCCCAGTAGGGTGCAAGTTGATGGAAGGATTTTTGCTAAATTGCATATGACCCTAATGAATTTATAATGTAGCTTTTTTCTTTGTTCTTTTCTTAGTTGTCCATAAGTATGAAACTTGCTTGTAGCATGAAAATTCAAAAAAAATAACCAAATACAGATGGAAGCCAACCTTTCCAAGCTTCTTTTGCAGAAACAAACTGATCTGAGCAGTTTAATGTACTTTGCCAAAACATTTCTTCTAGAACTGTCAAGTCAAGTTTATAGTAGCTGTTCTTCCTATTTCACAAATTCAAGTCATGAGGGTATAATATTCTTGATTTTCTATCACTCCATCTAATTTTTCTAGACTTAATTCTGAAGCAAGCAGAGACTTTCATCCCAGACAACTCATAAACTCCATCACCTGCCCAGGTTTCACTTCTTGCGCAAATACTTGCTTGCTTCATGCCTTAGTCAGATCACCTTGCCTTTCTGTACCTTACTTTTTACTTCTTGTAAAGTAGAAGTAGCACTGTTCACCCTAAAATACTCTTCTGCAAATGTGAAGAGTAAATATATATCAAGTATTTATTACTCTATTGACACCCAGAGAGGACTTACTAATGTTTGTTACTCTTTATGTAAAACACATAAATGTGATGTTAGCACTTATGTAGATACATAAATATAGTTCAAAATATTATGACAGCTTCTCAATTCAGGGCATATAAAGCTTGTATTTTTCTAAAATCTGTATAGAAGTTTATTACTTGAATGTAAGTAATTAACTAATATGCTACTGCTGGTAGCTTAGATTATTTCTAACTTTTTGTTATGACCACTTATACTTGCAAGACATATTTTTATTCATATGTCTCAGCAAATTTATATTTCTCCTTGATAAATTCTTACAAGTAGAGTTTCTCAGTAATGAGGTAGCTAAGTTTTAGAGATGCTGCAACTTACTCCTCTGTAGAATTGTATTAATATGCATAAATTTCCCACACTGTCTGGAATATTGAGTTGTAGGCACTATCCTGATGTTAGGTCAGGCATGGCAATAAGGACTCATAAGGACGGGGTACACTTCCAGGCACCTTACACGTTGCTTTTTTCCTAGTATATCTTACTTCTATTTCCATATATCTGAAAGTGAACTTATGAAACCTTATTCAACCTTTGACCCTCATATTGTTCCTGTTTCTTAATAAAAAGCATCACCACCACTAAGGTATTCCATTTAGAAATCTAGAAATTCTTGACAATTTTATCTCCTTTCCTTCTACTTCAACTAGAAAAGAGAGTGAGAGACAGACAGACAGAAAAGAAAGAAGAGGATTTTATCCTCATTTATTTCTCTAGAAACCTTTCAATAATGAATTACAGGATAAAGTAATTCTAACCTCATGTATACTAATTTGTCTCATTCATACTAATAGTTCAACTTACTTCATTGAAAATAAAGTTTACTTGTTTCTATTTTTAGGAATATTTTGATTTTTCTGTCTAATACTGAGTAAATAATTTGAAGATAATGAGACATAGTGTAATAACTATTATTATTTACTTAGTAGTTTGTTATGTAAATTTTATCTTCCTATAAAATAGAAAATGAATATTGAAAAATTAAAACATGAAAACCCTAACTCCTGGAACGTATCTCCTAAGTATTCCGCTGCCAGCTGTCTGAATCACTTTTCTTCCTTGCAGGCTGGTTCTTGTCCAACCCATTTCCTCATTTTGGCCAGAGTAATATTTCTAAAGGGCATTCCTAATTTGTGATTTCATAATTTAAATGTATCTTATCTCTATCTTGCATAATGTATATAAATCCTCCTTTATAGACAGAGAATATATTCCAAGACTCCCAGTGATTTTCTGAAATCATACATAATACCATACCCTACCCTATTTTATATAGACATCTTTACCTATGATATATTTAATTTATACATTATGAACAAGTAAGAGTTTATCTACAATAACATAGAGTAATTATAGCAAAACACTCCAATACTTTGCGGCCATTATTAAGTCCTAGAGAGTTAGTAGGTTTTACTTGAACATCAGCCCTGAAATATAATGGCACTCAAAGTGGTACACAAGATGAGGTGGTTTGAAATGCCCATGCTCAGGTCACACACACAGCAAGGATGCACTGAACAAGGGAGGCTTCACATGCACGCACGACAAAATGGGGCAGGACATGATTTCATCGCTGCTTAGAACAGCACACAGTTTAAAATTTATGATTTTCCTTTTACTTCTGGAATTTTCCACTTAATATTTTTTTAACCACAATTGGGCATAGATAACTGAACCCAAGCAAAGCAAAAGCTCTGATCCATCAGAGTCCTGTACTCATGTTCAATTTGGCTCTGCTTTTGTCTCCAGCTTAATCTGTAGCCTCCTCCGCTGTCATTTCTTCCTCTCACCTCATAGTGAACCAGAGAGAACCTTTTCAGTTGTATTTAGAATTTAGTTCTGCTGGAAGTCTGCCCTGACTCTGCCTCCTCGAGCTTCAGGTGTTCAAGCAACACTCTAGAGAGGTACTTTGAAAGCAGGGATTATGCCTGCCCGTTTTACCCACAGTGCCATGAGAACTAATTTGAGAAGCATGTGCTTCAAGAGTAAAGTTACTGAGGGTGAGTGAGTGAACACAGGGCAAAGACTGAGGGCCCTGGCAGTTAGAGGGTACAACAAAAAAGACCTGTCTGAAGATGCTGGCATGTTCGAATAAAGTCATGGATCGATATTCATGGAATTAGGAATTAGAAACAGCCATGTGTAGAAAATGCTTTGTAGGTTTTTTAAATAACCATTTCTTAGTATTAGAATGGGAGTATTGACTTGCCCCCCCTCCAGAGAGAAAATGTACTTTTACCTGTGCTGAAAGAAGTGACAACTTTTATTTTAAAATGTAGGCAAGTTAATATCTGATTCAATATTAGTAGTGCCATGGTGACTATAACATGTAAAAACTGGTGACCTGCTTCCAACAACCAACCCAAGAGCTTGTGAGACCGAGCATGATCTGAATCTTACTCAGAAAGCACTGAGTGTGTGTGTGTGTGTGTGTGTGTGTGTGTGTGTGTGTGTGTGTGTTGAAAAGAGTACTGTGTGGCAGGCCAGAATTTTGAAAGAGAAAATCTTTGCTTTAAAAATAAATAACTTAATTGCAAATGAAAATATATTTGCTAAATGATTCTAAAATTTATAGTAGTACTAAATTTGGTGAAGGCAGTCATGTCTGAAAAGAAAACATACAGCTGTTTGAATTGTGAGATTCATAAAGCCCTGAACTCACCCTTGCATGGTGTGCTTATTTGTACTGTATGCTGATACTGATGTGCTATAGGTGATTTCTCCTATATATTGATATATTGTTGCTATAGTTGCACTGCTGAAAAGCACAGTTAAAAATCTTTGGATTTTTTTTTTAAGCAAAGTTTTTTTTAAGTAAACAAATCATCACAGTCTCGCAGGAAAATCATTTGAATAGTTTGAATTTGCAATTCAATGTTTTAATTTCACACAGCATTTAAGATGACTCTGGTTTTTGAATACATGGAGAGATCAAAAGAACAAGTTGAGTAGAAGAGCAGGATTTAAAAGTTAAATCTAATAAGCAAATTATAGAAAGAAGCTTTTCCTTATGCTTATTTTTAAAAAAATAAATGTGCAAAGATAACATAGTTGGGGGACTTCTTTTAAGTCAAGAGTTACATTTCTCCTTCACTTCAAACCAAAAACCTGGCTTTGCTAGGTTGCATTGAGGAGAGAAACTGTCTTGAACTGCATGCAAAATGTATAACACAGTTAATTTAGATAACTAATAAAATCTCCTTTACTCGTTTTCTTACATTTTAACTTCCTAAATTACAGTATCAGTCCATGTTTAGTAATTAAATAGGAAACTCATTTACATGCTTAATAACAAGGAACCCTTCTCTCCACAAGCACACACATACACACAAACGTGGAGGTAGGTTAAAATACTCTGACCAGTAATCTCTGCACTTTACTCATTTCGTGGCATGAGCACTTGCAACATTTGATGCACCTGGCTTCCATTTGCCATGACTACAGAGGGACACAGAAGGCAGGGGTGCTGTTGCATTGCTCCATCCCAACCCCAAGCAATACCTTATCACCTGTGCACTCCATGCTTGAATATTAGGCAGTCAAGTCATGAAAAGTACCAATAAAATCTTATAATAATGTTTGAAGTGTACACTCATGTGGGGCCATGTTATAAGCTCTCCAGGGCCCCAGGTGTCCCCCAGGCCTCAGCTTGGATGCACCTGGGTTAAACCATGATACCTTGACTCATCTCTATTCGTAGACATGGAATCCAAAGCTGAGCTTACATACTCAGGTTAAATACTAAGTAATTTCCAGAATAGGTGTAAAGCTCTAAATACTTAATATGATTGT